CGGGCCAGAACCGCTCAAGGGCACAGAGCGACGAGGATGCAATCCCATTGAGCGTCACATGGCGCAAAAATGCAATACTGCAAGGGCACGGCACGACAAGGATGCAACGGCCTCGGACAGTTGATGCAATTTTCAAGGATTCACAGAACTCATGCAACTTATCGTATCTCTTAACGGCCTCGGACAGTGGACGCAAGGATTCAAGGATTCACCAGAGGAGAAGGAGGGGGATATACCTCGTATCTCCTAACGGCCCCGATCCCGCCACTAAGTGTTGATAATGCCCATGCGCGCCTTGACTAAATGTTAGCTAGTACAGACGGTCGTGCTGGTGATGTTGATGATGCTTATGATGGTGATGCTGGTTATGATGATGGCAATGGCGATGATGATGATGATGATGATGATGATGTTGATGATGATGATGATGCTGATGATGATTATGATGATTATGATGATCGATTGCGATGGTGATGATGATGATGACGATGATGATGATGATGATGATGATGATGATGATGCTGATGATGATGATGATGATGATATTTGAATGACACAAGAAGCAAAACCAGACAAACACGGACAAACCAGACAAACACAGACAAACCCAGACAAACACAGACACCAAACACCATCCACACCATCCGAGCGGACGGCGCGGATGGTGGAGAGCATGGGTACGTCTGCAGAAAGACACCTAGAAGCATCATGAAAAGGCTTTTTGTCCACGACCACGTCTGGCCCCGAGGGTGCTCAAGAACTCGTCGAGATGCCAGCTCATCATCTTTTCCTTCTCCTCTTCCTCTTCCTCCTCCTCCTCCTCCTCCTCCTCCTCCTCCTCCCTATCGCTCGTCACGAACACACCAACAGATAGCAACAGTGATAAAACATGAGCTAGGTTAGTGAGCAAAGCGATAAAACACGATACTGTGAGATTAGTACTATACCATTATCGCCATCCTCGACCTCCCCCTTCCTCCTTCTCCTCCTCGTCCTCGTTCTCCTCCTCCCTGATGGTTCCTCGCACTCTTGTCTCCTGGTCCTCCGTCTTCCTCCTTCTCCTGCTGCTTATTATCATCATCCATCTTCCTCTGCGTCCCTCTGCCTCCTCCTTCCGCATACTCCCTCCTCCACCTCTTCCTCCTGTTTCCCCTGGTTCCTCCTCCAGCCTCGCTGGTCTCCACAACTGGGCTGCGACGACGGTAGCTCTCAAACTGCCCGCTGACTCCGAATCGCTTGTGACTCACCGGGAAGCGTGGCCATCGCACCGCTTTGGGGCCCCTAGAGAGATACTGGTGCTCCCACTCCCCAAACCTCCCCCACGGGGCTGGATTCGGGTGGGTGTCATGGGAGGTGGCCTAAAGACCCTGAGAGGGATCCGTTAAGGCTCATCTGCCCAAAAGGGGCCCTAAATAATCGCATTATGGCCCTTTCACATAAGTCACCCCCCATTACCACCCGCCCCGATGGACACTCCCTGGCAGCGCCTCCACCGCCGCCCTTTTCGCGCCCTGCGCGCAAAGGAAGAGGGTCCAACGCCAATCAAAGAAGCCCGCGCTGACCCCCGAAAGAGTATGTTACGTGGTTATTTCTGCTTCGGCTGTTCTATTCTTTGGCCGGTGCGAGCAGACGCAGGCGCGTCTGGTTCGGACCACTCCCAAGGGAGGGAAGGCAAGTCCAGCGCCGACCCAGGAACGCCACGTGGAGCTCCGAAAGGCTGTTTCCTATGCATCTAAGTGTGGCCCTTCCCCAGTGTAGGTCTTTAGAACCCTCCAGTCGTGGAATTTTCAGCGGCTTCATTGACGGACTGGGGTCCCACCAGTGGTAGAAAATAAAAACTCATTTCTCCGCGGCACACGCCGCGCAACAACAACGATGATGAGGACTGTGACTACGATTCCAACTACGACCACGATACGACTACGACTACGAGTAATAGTTTGTGAGACACGTCGCGTCGAAGAATGTGTCGATCTATCGTGGAAACCTATTACAAAACGCGCTCAAACTTCCTCTGTCGTGCAGGGTAGCCCAGAGATCATTATTGGCTGGGGGGAAACCCAACATTATCCAGCGCGGCGAACACTCATGGGAAAATAATCCCTGCCGCGGCGACGACGACTACGATTACGACTACTGTTGCGACGACAGTCACGATTCCAATCACGATTACAACCACGATTACAATCACAACAACAACCACAATCACTGATTCCTACTGCCATCGTCGTGGGAATATGCTCACAAATCCTCTCGCGTGTAGGGTAGCCCGGGGGGACAGAGACCCCCCCAAAAAAAACATGATCCAGCCCGCCCAACACCAGAGGGAGAACAATCTCCGCCGCGACGACGACGAGGAGGGGAGGAGGAGGAGGAGGAGGAGGAGGAGGAGGAGGAGGAGGAGGAGGAGGCGGAGGAGGAGGAGGAGGAGGAAGAGGAGGAGGAGGAGGCGGCCCTCATTGTTCCCCGCCGAGAGAAAATGGTGACCACGTGTCACTGCCCCGTGCCACTGTCACCGAGGCCACGGGCCACTGTGTCACTGCACCGACCTTGCAGACGTGCTGCAGCGTATTTTTTGCGTGGATTTCTGCCAAAGCAAAACCCCGAAACGGCGAGTGATAAACGGAATGAATGTCGCGTGGATTTGTTTTAATCTCCATTCCTGGCCAAACAAAAATCCGAACGGAATTCACCTCGAAATCCGGAACGAAATTATGCAGTATACTCTGGGCCAATCCTATCGTTTTCCGAACGAAATCCGCCCTGCGATGTTGGCGCGATGACACGTGGCAAGGAGCCGTGGCCGCAGAGGAGCAATCGGGGACCTGCTAACCCAGGTCAATCAGACCCGGTCAGAAAAAAAAACCAAACCTGCAAATGCAGGAAAAGAACAACTGCAACGCGGGGCTTCGCAAACCCGGGTCAGCCAACGTGCGCGGCCGCCTCGCGGCCACGAGCGGCTCGCTAATCCGGGTCAGCCAGGGGGGATCCTGCAGGATCCTGCAGGATCTGGCGCCCTGGCTGACCCCCGTTTGCATTGACTGAAGGGGCCCTGGGACACGCAAATAAATACACACAACTAACCGGATCCCCCATAGTTTCCCATATCTTCTGGGTTTTTGACTCCCCCCCCTTCTTACCATAGTTTCCCATACCATCCTGGGAGTCGACGATCAATTGTGTCTGCGTGTGTTTTTGTTCCCCTCCTGATTGACCCCCGCCTCCTGAGCTCCAAAGCAAGCACGGGGGCGGCTGGCCCGCACCGCGCACGGGGCCGAAGTCCGGGTAGAGCCGGAGGCCTGGCGGGCCGCGGCGCCCGCCGGGGCGCATCGGTGGCAGGAGGGCCACGGGCCTCGCGCCTCGGGTCGGCGGCGAGCGGGGAGGGGACGTGTCAGGTCGGGCGTGTCCTCCTACAGGGGGAGTTTGGACGAAACCAAAAATAGTCAAAAAGTGCTCAAACCCAAAGAAAAATAATCATAAATCGTCCCCATCTGTTTTTTGGGCTATGTTTGCATATTCTCCCTGTCGAGGGACAGGCACGACTTTAAGGGAAGTGAGAAGGAGAAGGCCTTCTCAGAAGGCGGCGGGACTTCTCGGAACCCTCGCGCCTTCTGAGCAGTTTTCTGTGTCTTCGGGGAGAGCTCAAACAACTCCTCAGAAGGCCGGGGGGCTTCCGAGCCTTCCGAGAAGGCCCGCCCCTTCTCACTTCCCCCCGCGGGTTCGTCGCCGATCAAGGACGCCTCGCTATGGTCCCCTTCTCTTCCTCCTTCTCCGTGCCGTGCTGAGAGACGGGGGAGTGAGGCACCGGCTTCGAGGGTTGGGGGGGCATTGGGGTAAAGAGGAGGAAGAGGAGGAGGAGCAGCAGCAGCAGCAGCAAGTTTGGCATGTGGGAAAAGAGGGCTGCGATGGAACGGGCCATGAGCCTCCTACGAGGGCAAGCTTTTCGTTCAGAGCCGTTTCTGCTGAGGGTCCTGGGGCCCTGGCTGGAAGCCCGACAGCGGCGAGAAGCCTTCCAGACCCCTTTCTTCCAGAGCCCCCTGCTTACCAACGCTCGGACTACCATTAATCGTGCATGTTTCGGCTTCTTGCGTGCTTTTTTTTGCCAGATGATCCAGGATATGCTCCTCAATGATCCTCACCGAGAAGACAGTCACACGTCCGAGCGATGCCAGGACCTGATCTTCATGCTGATGGCTGGCGGGATGAGGCAGTGGGGAGCTGTACCCTGCCAGCAGCGATGAGGGACCACCCCGAACTGCGCCCCGAAACCCACGACGGCTCGAATCTCGCCGCGCACCCTCCAGGATTCCACTCGCGAGAAGCACCACGTCGCGGAGAACACGCAGAAAACAAACAACAATTCCCCGGCCCCTCCCCCCCTGTTAGCAAATCGGGTCCCCGCCGAGGCTCCCCGTGGGCCCCAAGGCCTGCACACCTCCACCAAAGGATGAACAGCTGATCCCCGGGAGAACCCCCGGGGTCTCGAACGAACTTCTTGGGAGTCCCCAAACCGTGTGGTGACATACTCGCGGTGACCTCGGAACGCCAAGAGACCTCACCGCACGGTCTTGGGACCCAGGAGGCCCTGGTCGCCCGAGACATCCTCGGAGGACGGCCTGAGCCTCCAAGCCGTGCGGTGACCCCGAATGATTCCCCACTGGCTCACCAGTGGTGAGCCTGTGGGGATTCGAGGTCGCCACGTGGTGAGTCACCACGCGGGTGTGATCACCACACCGTTTGGGCCCCTCCGTATTTCCCTCATGACCATGTCCCTTCATGTCGATTTCTGGCGTCTCTCGAACCAGATCGTTTGAGACGGCCACTAGGGCCCCGGAGCCCCGGGCGAGAACGCCCGCCGCAGGCTTTCGTCACGACGCCCGAGTCCATGCTCTTCCTGGAGCCTCTCCCCCCACTCATTGTCCTTGATCCTCCTCCTCCTCCTCCTCCTCCTCCTCGATACTCGATAGTGCTCCTAGGCATGCTCCCTCCTGGATCCTGGTCTCCCTCCCTCCTCGATCCTCGAGCCTGCTCCTCGGTCTCCTCCCGCCTCGATCCTCGATGCCTGCCCTCGACATCCAGCTCGCTCCCCCTCCCTGCGGGCTCTCCGGGAGCAAAACCTGCAGGTCGTCGGCGCATCGGGGAGCGCAAGGCGCGTGTGCTCTGGCAGGCCGCGGCGGGCGGGGTCGGGAGACTCTCCATGGGGGGGGATCCCATGGGATCCCCCCCCCCTGGGATCCCATCCCCCCATGGGATCCCCAGGGGATCCCATGGGATCCCCCCCCCCTGGGATCCCATCCCCCCATGGGATCCCCCCCCATGAAGAGTCTCCCGACGGGGGTTCGTCGCGGGGCCCCAGGCGTAGCCGGTGGAGTGGACGAAGGCGTAGTCCAGGACCTGCGCCGTCTGGATGACGTAGGTCATGAGCGTCAGGACCTGGCACCCGTGCGCGGTCGGAGAGCGGGCCACCCCTGGTGCCACATGGCGCGGGGGGGGGGAGAGAGAGAGAGAGAGAGAGAGAGAGAGAGAGAGAGAGAAAACAAAACACACACACACACACAAAACAACAACAACAACAAAAACCAACAAGAGAACGAGAGAGAGAGAGAGAGAAAATGGAGAGAGAGAGAGAGAGAGCAAAACAAATAAAAACAAGGGAGAGAGAGAGAGAGAGAGAGCGAGAGCGCGGGGAGTGGACACGGAGAGGTGGACAGTTTTTAGTAGCAGTCAGACGATTGCCAAAAGGATCCTAGGATAAGAAGGAACGAGGCTCCGTCCAGGTCTCAGCTGCGCCTCAGTGCACGAGTATCGCCGAAAGGAGACTGACATAAGGACCCGCGGAAACTCGAGCCACTGCCGAAGCTTTGACTGGCACCGTGGCATCGCTCACAAGGGCTCTTAAGTTCGGCTGCTCCCAACAACTCGCCTGGACCTGCACCAAAGCAACGTCGCATGAATACAGGACGTCTGAGGTCCCAGAGTCGACACCAAACGTGTCAACGTGACACGCCAAAAGCGTGCCGCGGCGATGCGTGTCCGAAGCCGTCCAGCGGGCGTGGTCGAAATTTGGGCCACCCATGCGGACAGGAAGGAGGAAGACGCGAATCGCCCGCCGTCGCCGACGCCAAGCTCGCGCTCTGCACTGCGCGTCCTCGCGCCGCCCTCCCACCCCCAGGGGAGAAGGGAGGCGGAGGACGAGGAATGAGGACCGCCAGCCGCGAGGAGCGAATCGCGTCGCGCCCTCGTGGAAGCCCTTGCGGGCGGCGCGCAGCAGGGGGGTAGATGGGGGGAGGGGGGAAGGCTTGTCAGGAGCACCCCTGCTTCTCAGAAGGCGCTGGCCTCGCATCTACAGAGAGAAGGCCCGCGCCTCCTGCGAAGCAGGGGCGCTTCTGGGAAGCCGTCCCCCCTCCCCCCCTGTACCCCCCCCTCTGCGCGGGGGGCCGACCTTGGCTCAGAGCTCGCGCTCGGAGCCCGCAGCCGGCCACCGAGCCGCCGACCACCGCCGAGAGCGCGGGCGCGGCGGCGCGCCGTGAGGGGGAGGCTGGGAGGCACCTTCGAGCGCCGCGGGATGTGCGGCGCCGCTCGAAGGGGGGGGGCCTCCTGCAGCTGCCCCGCCTCATCTGTCGGGCGTTTGCAGAACTGGGCTTCGTGGAACCTGGTTTGGTGATCTGTACCGGGGGCGCGGGCTGTTTAGCAAACGCCCGGGGTCGTTTCGTAAACGACGACTGTCGGGTCCGGGTGGTTTTCCCTCCCTCGAGTCCAGCTTGCACGGTCGCGGTCTTCCGATACAGCCAAGGCGCTGAGTAAAGGACCGCCTCGGGTTCGAAGGGGGCTCGCAGTTCCTGAGGTCGTTCCGTGGTTGTTCCTCTGGCCCTCCTCGTGTACCCATGCGGCGGAGGCGCGAAAGAGGGGCTTCGTTCCTGATTGAGCGTTCCTTATTTCGGCAACCCTTCTGTAGCTCAGATCGTTCGGCGCCACCGATTCTGGGCCACCAACGGCGATAAACCTTGAACGCCCGTTCTCGCCACAGCGCCGCGCAAACCCGTCTTCAAAATTTGCAACTTGCAGCAATTTCACGGAAGGAGGGCGGGCTGCTTTCAAAATGTGGCTCTCGCCATGGCGCCGCGCACAGTCGTCTTACAAGATTGCAGCGATTTCTCAGATGGAAGGCGTGGCGTTTCCAAAATGTTGCTCTCGTTTTAGCGCTGCGCACACCCGCGTTCAATGGTTGCACCAGTTTCACGGACGGAGGGCGAGCCACTTTCAAAATGTGACTCTCGCCGCAGCGCCGCGAATCATCGTCTTATAAGCAAAATTTGGCTCTCGCCGTAGCGTCGCGCACAATCGTCTTAAAATAATGTAGCAGTTTCTCTGATGACAGGAGGGGCGTTTTCCAAATTTGGCTCTCGTCAGAGAGCCGCGCACAATCGTCCTTCTTCAAAGTTTGTAGCAGCAGCTTCGCTGATGGAGGGAGGGGCTTTTCCAAAATGTGGCTCTCGCCTTAGAGCCGCGCACAATCGTCTCCAAAGTTTGTAGCACCAGCTTCTCTGATGGAGGGAGGGGCGTTTTCAAAATGCGGCTCTCGCCCTAGCGCCGCGCATAATCGTCTTCAAAGTGTGTGATGACTTCTCTGATGGAGTGCGGGGCGTCTTCAAAATGAAGCTCTCGCCCTAGCTTCGCGCACAATCGTCTTAACATATTGTGGCAACTTTTCTGGTGAAGGGCGGGGCGTTCTCAAAATGTGGTTCGCGTCATAGCGCCGCGCGCACTCGTCTTGACAGTTTGCAGATATCACGGATAGTGGTTGGTTCCTTTTGAAAGTGCGGCTCTCGCCCTAGCGCCGCGCTCTGTCGGCTTAGAAGTTTGCAGCAACTTCAAGGATGGAGGGCGGTTCTGTTTGAATACATGGATCCAGCCTTAGCGCAACGCACTTTTGACTTGAAGTTTACAACGCTGCTAAATATGGAGGGCGGTTCCTTTTGAACATGTGGCTCTCGCCTTAACGTCGCGCACATACTACGTCTGGGAAGTGTACAACCGATTCCAGACTTCGTATGGTTAAAGACGCAAGAACGGCATTCTGGCGCGATTCGGGTTTGCAATGACGCAACAGTCAGGTTGATTCACTGTGTTGAAATTCCTGGGACGGTGTTCTGGCACGGTTTAGGATTGTCCGGACGCAACAGTCACATCGCCCCGCTGAGCTAAAATCCCAAGAATGGTGTGATGGCACGGTTGAATATTCTAAGACGGTTGTCTTCCAATGGGGCACCTCCGGCAATGGAAACGAATTGTCGTAGACGCCTGTGAAGAGGGAACATGGAGGGAGAGTAGATTGCAGCATCGTTGATGTGACTTGGGTTTACTCTGGTCCTCCTCCTCCTCCTCCTCCCCCTCCTCCTCCTCCTCCTCCTCCTCCTCCTCCTCCTCCTCCTTCTCATCCTGGAAGGAGGGTGCCCTACCCGCCTCCCAAGAGGCTTGACACCACCCTGGGCTACTTCTTCCCAAACCATCCTGTGGTGCTGGGTCCTCGTTTTGAAGAGACAGCGGCCCGCGTCCCACCTCGCCTCCTCCTCTCCTCCTCCTCCCCCTCCTCACTCCTCCCATCCCTGCCTCTCCTCTCCCTGTGCCGTCATCGCCATCAGTATCGTAATCTTCATTGTGAGCACCATCGCCATCACCGGCGTCATCAATATCGCCATCGTCAGCTTCGTGCCTCTGGCTCTCCGCATGCCCATGTCGGTACACCTCTCACACGTTTCGTGGCCACATAGGGGGCTCCACCGAAGGCCCCAGTGGCAGCGTCCGCATGCAGTTCCAGCCCCCATCTTGGCACAACCCTCACGTGTTTCGTGGCCCTATAGGGAGCTCCACCGAAGGCCCCAGTGGCCGCCCGCATGCAGTTTCACCCCCATCTTGGCGCACCCCTCACACGTTTCGCGGCCAAATAGGGAGCTCCGCCGAAGGCCTCAGTGGCAGCGCCCGCATGCAGTTCCACCCCCATCTTGGCGCACCCGGCCCCAGTAGCAGCGCCCGCATGCAGTTCCACCCCCAGCTTGGCGCACCTCTCGCACGTTTCGTGGCCCCATTTCGTGGCCGCCATTTGCGTCGCCCCGCGTGCCATCCTTGTCGCGGCGCGCTACCTGTGAGGAAAAAGGTCGTCCTTCGCCACAGGCCAATTTTGACGGTCCCGGGGGCTGCCAGTAGCCAAGGAGACGCCGTCGTGACTCTCGCTGTGCGACGAAGAGGTCGAGCTGCCCCCTCTCTCCCTTCCGCCTTTCGCTCCGATCGTGGCTCCATCCCTCCCTTCCCCATCCCTCTCTCCGCGCCATCCTCCCTCTCACCCCCTTTCTCCCCCTCTCACTCCAGCTTCCACTGCGACCGTGATCCTTCTCGACCCTCCACTCTGGATGCTCTTCAATCCTCGGCATGATCGCCTCCCTCCTCCCTCCCTCTCTTTACGGTCCTCCCCTCAGGTGCATCCCCCCGAGCGCTCAGACCGCCGGCTGGTCCTGCTCCCCACAAGTCCACCCCGTTGCCCCTGTCCCTCGGAGATTCGCGTTCCTCGATCACCGATTACAAGAAACTCTTCGAGCTGCACTCCTGTTTCTCCTCCTCCTCCTCCTCCTCCTCCTCCTCCTTCCACTCATTTCCCTCCCCCCTCGTCTCCCCCTTCTCTGCTGCCCCGCCCCCTACTCCCCCCGCACCCCCCTTCCCCTCCGTATCATTATCTTGTTCCTTCTCCTTTGTATCCTCCTCCTCCTCCCCCTCCTCCTCCTCCTCCTCCTCCACCTTCCACTCATTCCCCTCCCCCCTCGTCTCCCCTTTCTCTGCTGCCCCGCCCCCTCATCCCCCCGCGACCCCCTCCCCCTCCTCATCCTGATCCTTCCCCTTCTCCTTTGTATCCTCCTCCTCCTCCTCCTCCTCCCCCTCCTCCTCCTCCTCCTCCTCCTCCTCCTCCTCCTCCTCCTCCTCCTCCTCCTCCCCCTCCTCCTCAGCCCGTCTGGCTCGAGCTTGCTTCACTGGTTCAAGCCTGGACTTGCGACCGCCAGCGCGCCGATGCCGCGCGCGGCCGACGGACGCCGCGCCGCCCGGGAGGCGGCCCGCGGCGCCCTCCTCGCCTCGCACGCCGCCTCGGCGGCGGCGCCGCCCGCGCGGCCGCGGCGGGAGGGCTGGCGATGCGGGAGGTGCGGCGGCCGTGGCCGTCGTGGTGGCGGATGGTGGCGGTCTCGCGAGGCCGCCTGCTGCGCCTGCGGCTGCCGCGCCGCCAAGTGCTGGCCCCCAGCCCCAGCGGCTGGCGCCGAGCGCGGCGTTCCCGCGCCCCGGCCGGAGCCTGCCGAGGCCGCGATGCCGCTCGACGATGACGAGTTCGACGACAGCTGGGCCGATGCGTTGCCCCCGAGGCGTGTGGGAGCCCCCGCCGTGGGGGGGGGCGCCCGCGGCGCTGCGGCTGGGGCGGCTGCAGCGTCGCCTGCGGCAAGTCCGTCTCGCTCCTTGTCGGGGCTACCGCGGCCTTCGACGGTGGCGGAGCTCCCTGTGTGGATCCTGGTGGAGTTTGCTCTGCAGGACACGCACCAGCAGCTGCCGCCCGTCTCGCCCGAGCACCTCGACACCTTGAGCGTTGAGCAGCTGAACCAGCTCGCCGACTCGATCGAGCAGCTGCGAGGTATGCCACCTGGGGGCCTTCGTGTGCGGTGCGTCCCCGGTGGGTTCTCCAGGGAGAGCTACCATTAAAGCCCCGTAGGGGTCACTTAACTGGCGTTTCACGCGCTCCTCGCGCACGCAGCGGCTCCCGTGTTAGCGGGTAGACCCCCTGCCCCGCCACGAACAGGACCCCTGGCCGCCAGCCGAGGCTCCCAGGGGGCGCATCGGCCTGCGCCATCCTCCTCCTCCTCCTCCTCGTCCTCCTCCTACTCTTCCCACGTATTCCCCTCCCCCCACACAGTCCCCTCCCCCTTCTTCTCCCCCTCCTCTGCTGCCCCGGCCCCCCCATCCCCATCCCCCACCCGCAACCACTCCGCCTCCTTATCCTCCTCAATTCCCTCTCCCTTTCCCTCCTCCCTCCTCCCCCGTTCCTCCCTCACTCCTTCCTCTTCCCGGAAGACACCGCGACCTCCTCCGCTACCCCTGCTCCCGCTCCTCCTCCACTGCGACTTCGGCTGGGCTCGGCCTTCTCTGTGGGAAACCCTCGACTGGGTGGCCACATGTAAACCCTACCCCCAAACCCCACGAGTTCTAAGTGGGGGTGAGGTCGGGTTCACATGTGGCCACCGATCGAACCCTTCCGCGCGTCCGTTGTGGGTCATCATGGGTCGTGTTTTGACATGTCTATGGGCCCCAGAGTGGCCCCCCGACGCCAAACATTTGGAAAAGCATCTGGCGTGAACTCTTCGAGCGGCCAACGGTTCGGGTCAGATTCCTCCTCCTCCTCCTCGCCGACCATGAACCCCAAGTAAACCAGCATGCTCGGAATGTACCTGGACAGCGGCGCAGGGGCGGAGGAAGAAGGGGAAGGTCGAGGAAAAACATGCGTGAGGGAAGAGAGAAGGAGAGCCTTCTGCGGGACATCCAGGTGTGAAGTCGTAGTAGTGCGGCCGATCAATGTTCGTGTTATCTGGCACCTATGTTTGCTGCTCAAGAGTGGTTGGCGAATCCGCCTGGACACCGCAGCTTCCATGGCAGGGGATCGACCACAGCACAACTCCATGGCACATCACTGCACCAGGGCAACGCTGAACCAGGGTCTGCGTTGGAATGGCGACACCAGGCAAGCCAACGCCATGGACTCTCCGTCGCTCGGACGTCCATTCCCTGTGTTTGTTTCGGTTTCGTGCGCGGTTTTTCGCAGGATGATCCAGGATGCTCCTTAATAATCCCCGCCGAGAAAAAGTGCACACGTCCGAGCGATACAAAGTGGACGAGCATGGTGCGTCTCGGATCAGCCTGTGCGTCGATGGAGGAATACGCTGGCAGACACTCGAGATCAGCCCGAGTTGTAATGCACGCGTGCGGTCGGGAACCTTGGCCTGGCGTGTCGCGGCGGCGGCGGCCCTGGCGACACACACAATGGCCCTGCGAGCCGCAAGGGGCGTCGCTCCGCTCCGCGGGGCGGCAGGCTGGGACAGGCTCGGGACGCTGATGCCTACAGTCGGACTTGATTGGAGAGGACACGCGAGAGGACACAAGACCCTTCCGAGAGCCACGTTGCCAAAGAAATGCAGGAAGCACGGGTCGCGAGACACAGGACACAAAGGTACCCTTGATTTGGCAGGGTCGACCTACTAATCCGGGCCGACTGTAGAATTAGCGCCGAAGCGTGATGGGCCAATACCGGTGGCCCAACACGCGAAGCAGAAGTTCCCGACCGTAATAGCCATTCGTATGAGCGTGTGCTGTTCCGAGGAGGTGGCCTCTCTCTGTGGCCCATGCCGAACTCGTCCGAAGCCGAGCATACCTCGTTCGAATAGGGCCTGGAAATGATCGCACGGATGGAGGAGGTCGCGGAAATCGCGGCAGCGCAGGGGTAGCACAGCGTCGCGCAGCGGATGGGCGACCGAACCTGGGCCCAACACGAGAAGAAAGGATACGAGGGACACAACAGGGAGGAAGTGGGCCAGAAGAAGAAGAATGAGCCAGGGGAGGAGGGATAGGGGATAGCCAAAGAGGAGGGAGAAGAGAAAGGACAGGAGAAGAGCGCGGAAGAGGAGGGCGAGGAAGAGAAATAGAGCTGAGGCGGAGGGGAAATACAGAGGCAAGTCGGGGGGAGCACGCGCCAGCGTGCCGAGGTGGTGCTCCGACAGCGAGCAGCGAGGCGGCATGCGATGAAGGCTTTCCCGCCCAGGGACAAAACGGATGCGGGATGCACGGTGAGCACACAATCGGTGAGGGCACATCGGGAACATCTGAGAACCGGAGGGAATGGATGACGCGTCGGGCGCGGCGGCTGGCTCCAAGGCGCAAGCAATGTATCCTCATCCTAGGCCTGCCTGAACCCCCAACACCTCCACCATCACAAGAAAGCTAAAGGTGGCGCCACGATGCGCCGAGTTCCAAAGCTGCGGGGCGCGAAGGGAGGAGGAGGAGCATCGAACATGCAGCTCGATTAGCCTCATGGAGGGCGCCCCGAAACCTCTGGAGACCTCTCAGTGCGCGGTGAGACTCCTGGAGGCGAGCAGGTGGCCGAGCGAAGGCGTCCTCTTGGGGAAGGCGGGGCGGGTGATTGGGAAGGGGCCCTGGGACACACAAGTAAATACACACACAAATAGCAAGATCTCCCATATTCTCCCATATTATCTGGGTTTTTGTCGTCCCCCCCACTTCCCATATTTTCCCATATTCTCTAGGGGATCGACGATTCGTTGTGTCCGTGTGCTTGTTTCCCTCCTGAGACTGGTGTCTGGGGCTGCGGGAAGACCTGCAGCCGAGACCCCGATGCAGGAGCTCTCTCTCAATCTCGGGAGCGGCGCCGCCCTTCCGTCAGGCCGGGGGCCCTGCTCGTGGCTCAGGCTCGCCGTGGCCAGAAGGCTTATGTCGGGCGTGTCCCCCTACAGGGAGATCTTCGACGAAAAATACAAAATACCCCAAACATATACCAACAATATTCAAATTATTCACTGCGTGGAGCTCCCCATATGTGCATCTACTCGCATGGACCTGTCCGCCGTGAATGTCTAGGCGCAAGAGCTTTCGAATATTAACGGGCTTCAGTTGTGACGGTCTGGACATCAATCTAACTGCGAATGAATTGGAGTGTGAATGAGCCTCAGTAGTACGAGCGCGTCTCTGTGCATGAGCCTGGGGCCTCCTGGGGCCTCCTGAAACCTACTGGGGCTTCCTGGGGTCTCCAGGAGCCTCTTGGGACCTCCTGGGACCTCCTAGGAAGGTTTCGTGCCCCAGGAGAGGCGCAATCTATAGCAACAGACGTACATAAAACATTGCGGATTAGAGCCACAGGAGAAGGGCAATCTATAGGAACACGCGTAAAACACCAAGGACTCGTGCCCCAGGAGAGGCCCAATACATAGGAACATGAGTAAAACATTTAGGATTGTGTACACAGGAGAAGGACCATCTATAGAAACATACGTAGAACATCAAAGAATCGTGCTCCAGGTGAGGCCCAATCGATAGGAGCATACGTAAAACACATGGGATTGGAGCCACTCCTGTTGCCTTCTGAGGCCTCCTGCTCCTGGGGCCTCTCGGGGCCTCCTGTTGCCTTCCGAGGCCTCCTGGCGCTTCCTGTTGCCTCCTGGGGCCTCCTGTGGTTTCCTGAGGCCTTCTGGAGCTTCCTGGGGCCTCCTGGAGCCTCTTGGGACATCCTGTGGCCTCTTGAGTCTTTCTGTGGCCTCCTGATGCCTCCTGGGACCTCATGTGGTCTCCTGGGGCCTCCTGGAGCCTGTTGGAGCCTCCTGTGGCATCCTGAGAAGAATCTGCGCCCACGAGCCTGGCCACCAAAACAAGCAAACCGATCGAGACATCCTCAAACTCTGGCCCACCTGGGGGGTGAAAATGAGCGCCTCGCTCGAGACATCCTCCAAATCTGCTCCGAAAGCGAAGGATGTTGGGCCCAGAAACAAGCAAACCGCCTGAGACATCCCCACAAAATGGCCGCGAACGAGCCCGTGCAACCACCCCTGGCGGCTCCCCTTAGGGGTGCTGAAACCAGCGCCCCGCCTGAGACATCCTCACAATCTGCTCTCCAAGCGAAGGATGTTGGGCCCAGAAACAAGCAAACCGCCTGAGACATCCCCACAAATTGGCCGCGAACGAGCCCGTGCAACCACCCCTGGCGGCTCCCCTCAGGGGTGCTGAAACCAGCGTTCCGCCTGAGACATCCTCACAATCTGCTCTCCAAGACAAGGATGTTGGGCCCAGCAACAGGCAAACCGCCTGAGACATCCCCACAAAATGGCCGCGAACGAGCCCGTGCAACCACCCCTGGCGGCTCCCCTTAGGGGTGCTGAGTATGAGTAAGTCTGTGTATGAGTAAGTCTGTGTATGAGTAAGTCTGGGTATGAGTAGGTCTGTGTATGAGAAAGTCTGTGTATGTGTACGTCTGGGTATGAGTAAGTCTGAGTATGACTAATACTGTGTATGAGTAAGTCTGGGTATGAGTGAGTCTGTGTATGAGTACGTCTGGGTGTGAGTAGTATGAGTAAGTCTGTGTATGAGCAAGTGGGAGTATGAGTAAGTCCGACAGGAGGGGAGGAGAAAAGAGGAGGAGGGAGAAGGAGGAGTAGGAGGCGTCCAAGTAATAACAAGAACCCCATCTTAGGATATGGGGAACAATACTTAAAACATCCAGACTATGTTTAAACATTTGTTTTCATTATTTTGGGGGTATTTTTTATATTTCGTCGAAAATCCCCCCTGTAGGGGGACAGGCCCGACTTAACAGAAGGCCCCCTCGTCCCTCATGATAGCACGACGTCTCTACTAACGCCCCGTTCGGTCCTTGACTGCTTCTGGATTTTCCAACACGAAACCCTCTGCATGCACGTTTTTTTCCTCTGGCTCCCGCGCAACCGACGTTTCGTATTGTGTGTTTCCAGTTGTCCCGGCTTGCTTCAATGAGACGGCAGAAAAAAGTGACCATGACGAAGACCGATCGCGGGAACGTCGGTGTCGATCTTGGTCACCGACGATTCGTGGATCATCCTCGCGAATTGGCCACGATGGTGATCGTTCGTTTATTCCGACTTCTGACATTCCGTCGATGCGGAGTGAAGGAGGTCAAGCTCCAGATCAATTCTTAATCCGCCGGCCCCCTGATGTGGCCACCAAGCTGTAGGCCGAAGTGTGCTGCTCCCTGCACCAGTTGTAGTTTCAAGTCTCCAATGTTACAATCCTGCTGTCTGCTTCGCACTGTAAACTGTTGAAGTCCGCGCGAGGGGGGGGGGCGAAAGGATCCAATTTACCACGCCCGGTTCGCTTTGCCTGAGTTCCTGGGGGGGCGTGGGACGGTGGAAAGTTGTTTCATCCGCTTTTGTTTCGTCCGCATTTGTTTCGTCCGCTTTTGTTTCGTCCGCTGTTGTTTCATCCACTTTTGTTTCATCGGCTTTTGTTTCGTTCGTCTTTTGTTTCGTCCGCTTTTGTGTCATCCGCTTTTGTTTCGTCCACTTTTGTTTCGTCCGCTTTTGTTTCGTCCGATTTTGTTTCGTCCGTTTCGGTTTCGTCCGCTGTGCCTTGCGTGATTCGTGTGGTAACTGGGGGGATAAAAACAGGATGAATTCAAACTGGACGAATTGAAACCGGATGAATTCAAACCGGACGAATTAAGAGAAGATTGATTTAAACCAGACGAATTAAAACCAAATGAATTTAAACCGGACGAATTAAAACCGGATGAATTTAAACTGGACGAATTAAAACCGGATGAGTTTCAACAGATGAGTTAAAACCGGAAGACTTTCAACGGAACGAATTAAAACCGGACGAGTAAAACCACATGGATCCAGCTCTGGGCAACTATGTA